GTTAATTTGGGCAGCTTCAAAAATAACTTGTCATTCAAATCAGTTCGAGTTGAGAGTCTTGAGACCTTAGATTTAAAGATGAATTTCATTAGACCGCAATGTTAATGATTATTTTGGTCTTTATATTGTAGAGGGGAATTGGCCATTAGAGGATGATTACAAATCTCTTTTGTTGTAACGGAAACATTAACACAAGTAACAAAATCAACACAGAAAATAATATGTGAAGTATCTCAAATGCCCATGTATATTTACCACATAAATTTGTGGTACATATAAAAACATTCGAGACATTGTCCATGCTAAAGTTCATGTTGGTCGTTTTGTTGATTTTCTTATTTCAAACAAGGTTTGTAATCTTGTCCAACAATTACCGTTTTTTCATTTGAAGAGAAGTATGATATTTGTCGTTTTAAAATATTGAGTTTGTCTTGGCGGTTAAGATTTTCTTTATCGACCGCATTACAATCACTTAAACAAACAGATTTTAAAACTCACCTCCGGAGTCGGAATGCTTCGAGCATGATGGATAGAACCCGACTGCAAATTCCGATCATTTCCGTCGATAATCCGTGCCCTATGATCATGTGTCACAGAGGTAGAAAGCACATCGTTAAATATTCTATCCAACCAAATACAAAATGGATTTGTATAGACTGGGGATTTGCACCTGTGCATATGGTACAGGCACACGAGCCAAACTTGAGGCCTGGCAAACTTTTTTGGTGACAAATCGTTATGTACGGATAACTACTTAACTTTGTGAAGTAATTTCAAATTAATTTCAACATTTTAAAACATTCTAAATAATTATCTAATGTTTTAAAAGTTAGACATTCGTTAGGTCACCGATATTAAGTGATGACTTTACCATCACTGACGAACGATGTTTCTAGCATTAAACGATGGGGTGAGCAAATATTAAAGTTGATGTATGCTAATCATTGTCCTTAGAGCTATAATTCATCAAATAGACTAAGCGAGAGCCTTGTGCACTGGGTATGACCTTTGAGCAGCCTTTCCATAAATGGGGGTAAGGCTAGCCGACATTCACCTCTCTCAGACCCTGCGTAAAGCGGGAGCCTTGTGCATTGGGTACGACCTATGCTAATCATTGTCCTTAGAGCTATAATTCATCAAATAGACTCTTTTTAGCAAAACTAAGTCATAAATTTGTTAAGCTAAACTGCGTCGATTTAGAGATTCAAAACTCCATAAATGACTTGAGAATAAAAATCCGTTTTAGTAATTGTCCTCATCATAATCACTTAGCATTAGTGAACCAAGGAGATGTCCACTTTTCAAAACGTTAAGTGGTTATTTAGAATTTTTTAAAATGTCAGAACAATTTTAAAATCACCTCCAAAATTTGAGTAATTATTCAAACTTAACCCTTATTATTAATATAATTTATGGGTCCATTTATTGTCAAAGTTTTAACGACAGTGACAGAATAAAGGGTAAAGTAAATAGTACCAGTATTAATTTTTTAGTGTAAAAATATGATTTTTCGTTAAAGTGAACAATACCGAGAGGTTTTCGTTAAAATTTCCGTTTTTTTTTTCCAGTCTACAAGTTATATACAAACAAAAATCAATGTGTGATGCAATGATTGGGAGAAAAAAAAACCGACGACTGGGTAGAATGGTAGCAGCTAACAGAGCTCTCTGTTTTTTGGTGTGCAAAATTGAATGCCATAAGATAATTGAGAGGGTCGTTGGACACTCATGTGATACATGAGGAAAACATTCAGCTTCCGATAACAAGATATCAATCGGCATGGACACTCACTGATCCAATTCAAGTGACAAGCTCTCATTAAAATCCGACTTCTTGACTCAATTTTCAGCACAAACACAAAAGGGTCTCTCAGATTTCTTGGATTGGATCCACTTGATTGCTCGGTTTCGGATTCGGGTGAGTTTCTTCTTCTTCTGCACCTTCAATTCTTGCAACTTGTATACAATCTTTACTTAAAGACCTTAGCTTTAATACGATTTCTCGAACTAGTTGAACTGTTACAGAAAACCATGCTCTTGCTTTTCATTCTTTCACCAGACATTCAAAATCGTGAGCTAATGATCGTGTTTTTCACGATGTTAGTTTCGATCAATCATGGGTTTTTTGTGTTCTATGTGAATTGTCAGTGGTTTTAGAAGATTCAGATGAAATGCTTGATTGTCTTGTGAAATCAAGATTTATGTTTTGTTGGAATTTTCGAGCTTTAGAGGTATAGTGGTAGCAAAATTGCAATTTGAACTAAAATCTTTCAAGGCATTGAAAATTAGAAAAGGGGTATCTCAGTAATCATGAATTTGTCTGGTTTACTTGAATTAATCATGAATAGTTGAACCAATGTAGAATCTGAGGATCATTTAATTTCTTTTGGGCAGATTTCAACCTTGGGTTCCATCCGGCTGCTGAATAATGGATTTTAGTACAATGGATCGCGGTCAGTTGACCCTGCTGGCATCCGCAGGCTGTGTGATGCTTACGGTGCATTTCACATTACAGTTATTGTCGCAACATCTCTTTTACTGGAAGAACCCGAAGGAGCAGAAGGCGATAATAATTATCATTCTCATGGCTCCTATATACGCAGTTGACTCATTTGTGGGTTTATTGGATATTAAGGGAAGCAAAACATTTTTCATGTTTTTGGACTCTATTAAGGAATGTTACGAGGCTCTGGTGAGTGCCTCCAACTTCGTTATGGTTTTGTTTATTGTCAACTGTCTCATATGGCTTGCATAATTTGCTAACTTCTCGTGTTCCTACTTCCAGGTGATTGCTAAGTTCTTGGCTCTTATGTATAGTTACCTGAAGATATCCATAAGCAAAAATATCGTGCCAGATGAAATCAAAGGAAGAGAAATTCACCACTCGTTTCCCATGACTCTTTTTCAGGTACGAGGTAGTTTTATGCTGTTTCGGTTTCTATTGCATTGGATATGTAAGCATAATTCTTTGTATATGTTGACTCTATCATATAATAACAGATACAATGTGGCTTTACAAACTGCAGCCTCGCACCGTTCGGCTAAACCACCAGACCCTGAAGCTACTCAAATATTGGACGTGGCAATTTGTCATCATACGCCCAGTTTGTTCTGTTTTGATGATAACTCTACAGGCACTGGGGCTGTACCCCAGTTGGTTGAGCTGGACCTTCACTATAATTCTTAACATTTCGGTTTCTTTAGCATTGTACTCTCTAGTGGTGTTTTACCATGTGTTTGCAAAGGAATTGGCACCGCATTCACCCCTTGCAAAGTTCCTGTGCATCAAGGGAATTGTCTTCTTCGTCTTTTGGCAGGTACAGCTCGTCTGTTCTTTTGCATGCCCAATTTTTATATGCAGCCTTATAGAAAATGCAGCCAAGGATATAGAACACATACAAATCCACAAAGATACCGAGTAAAAGGATATGAAACCCGTCTATAGAATATCCTAGCTATTAGTATTATCTATTGTGGTTGGTTTTGGCCTTTTGAACATGAAAATTATTTTACTTGTTCCAAACTACTCGCCTTATACGATAGAATTACTATGTAAGAGTGATTCTTGCAAATTGCAACTTTGATTTGACATTCTCTGGTTCTATATACTTGGAAGCAAAAACATGTAAGAAACTGGAAACTTCTTGTAACCGAACCACCATTCACTTATCAGCTCGTTCTATTGGAACCAGATTTTGGTTAAACGCCACATGAAAATTCTTTTAAGCCCAATTATTGACTTAATCTATAAGCTTTTTATTGTGCCATTCGTTAACAAACGAGGCTTTGATCCGATTGCAGGGAGTGGTCATTGACATATTAGCTGCTGTGGGCGTCATTCGATCTCACCATTTCTGGTTAGATGTGGAGCACGTCGAGGAAGCTATTCAGAATGTCTTGATATGTCTGGAGATGGTTGTGTTTTCTGTCCTCCAGCAGTATGCGTACCACGTTGCGCCTTACAGCGGAGACGTAGAAAAGAAGATGTTAAACAAGAAGAGGGAGTGATTCGAAGCCTTCTCTCATGTACGTGAACGCGATTTTCCTTTTTCATGTATCAATAGTTTTACCAACTAGTTAATGTCATGTATTTCTTAAAATATATTTCTCGAAGATAAATATAATTATATTTTATGTGTTTATTGGTTTTCATAATTGAATGATTTAAAATAAAATAAAAAAGCATTTTGTTGGTGTTGGTACAACCAAACCATAGGACCAAATTAATATCACAACCACCAATCATAATGCGCCTTTTAGCTAGCAAGCCAGCGAGAGAATTTTCAGGAGGCCGGGAACACTGTCTTGTACACCAAATGTAATAATACAATCGGTTGAAATATTTTTTTTTAAGTTTTCAACCAATTGTATTATTACACTCGGTGAATCGGGCCGTGTTCTCGGCACGCATGATAAATATTTCCAAGTCAGCGAGGAGACTATTCGTGCCATGAAAGTCATTCTCATCAGCGCACATATTCATTATCAGTGCATAATTTTCCCTAATGAAGTAATTAATTGCAAATCATCCCCTTCTTGCTTATGGAAACTTAGTATTACCTTTGCCCATTGCTTTGGATTTTTATTTAATCCAAGTAATTTAAAAGAATACTTTGTTTATGAGTTGTGTCAAGACGTGTAGGATGTTATGTAGTCGAACAATAAGTACGTGAATAACATATTAAATATCTAATTAACATTTTCGGTAACATAACATGTCAGATCGAGAAAATATGAATATTATTGGTTTTATTTCCTCAATGATTACAAAAAAAAAAAAAAAAGTTGGGGTAAGTAATTACAAGGTAGAGTTTGCACTCGGACTCGGAGCGGCAGATTATTTTGTTTTTGTTTTCTTGATCGACTGAGGCGGAAGGGACAGGGTTGGGACTAGATGAAGAGGGAATAAATACTGGTTTGGTTGTTGAGTCGGTAAGCCAGACAGTACACAGAGATAAAGCCAAACGAACGAAAGGACAGAGGAGGGCGCCGTCGAAGGCCAACAAGGCAACAACACGCGTGGTGGGATAAGGAAAAGCCAAAAGGCATTGCCACCTTCCAAAGTCCAACACCAACACACACAAAATCTTCAACAAAGCAAAGCAAAAGCGCAGATAACCCATTTTCTCATTTCCAGAATCACAAAAAAAGACCCAACCTTTTTTAGAGAGAGAGAGAGAGAGAGAGAGAGAGAGAGAGTTTGGATAATTGGGTGCCAGCAGCAACATGAACCAGAAGGCGAGCGTTTCTAAAGAGCTTAATTCCAAACACAGAAAGGTCTCTCTCTCTCTCTCTTCATTTCTTCATTCTTAGTGATCTCAAGTTATGTAATTTTCTGTATTATTTGGTTCGAAGATATGATTTTTTTTTGTTTTTAATGTTCTTGTTTTTGGGAGGATGAAGTTTTTGGCTTTGTTGGTTTTGAGTTTTGAGAGCATGAACCAACATATATCAGTTCGTATGCTCCAAGTTGGCCAAGGCATAATACCTTGAAATCTTAGGCCTTGTTTGGAGTTAATGATTAGATTGGTTTGGTCTCATCTGGTTTATTTTGTATGTAGATATTGGAGGGTCTTCTTAAACTACAAGAGAACAGAGAATGCGCAGACTGCAAAACCAAGTACGTTTCTTGTAACGAACTATAGAGACAGTAATTTTTTTTTTCATTGAAGCGTAAGCAAAACGGTAGGTTGAGTTGCAAAGATCAAGGGGTAGAAACTGACTAATGCAAGCTATTTAGATTTGATACTGTATTTTTTGTAGAGGATTATTCCGCTGTTAACATCTTATATGGATGGTTAACTTCTTGTAGTGCTGCCTTTTTTTGGTGCAGAGCTCCGCGATGGGCTAGCGTGAACCTTGGTATCTTCATATGCATGCAATGTTCAGGGATCCACAGGAGTCTTGGGGTACATATATCAAAGGTATAATTTTCGGTTATGCAAAAACTTCCAAGTTCATTCCTGCGTTATGCTATTGAGTTTCGGTTCTATTTTCTCCTGCATTATTCTGATGATTTGGATGCTTTTGTAGGTGAGATCTGCCAATTTGGATACATGGCTTCCGGAGCAGGTTGCATTTATCCAATGTAAGTACCACTGCTGTTTTACCGGCTTCTTTTCATTCCGGTGGGAATCGAGTTTTAAATGATGATACAAGTGCTGAAATTCATTTTGGTTCATTTTGCTGCTAGCAATGGGAAATGATAAGGCGAATAGGTATTGGGAAGCAGAGTTGCCTCCTAAGTATGACAGAGTTGGAATTGAGAATTTCATTCGAGTAAAGTATGACTTCGTTTTTTCTTGGTTTAGATTGTCGAGGAATTGTATGATGTAGTACTTGTTATTCATTATTGGTTTATTTTGGGCTTAGTTGTTTGGGTGCTTGTGTTCTCCATTAGGTATGAACACAAAAAATGGGTTCCTAGAGATGGGAAAGTAAAATCACCTCCGAGGGTGAGTAAGGAGAAGCCTTCCGTTTATAGAGCGAGAAATGCGACTAGTAGTCAGCATGTCCATGTGAAAAAGATGGAACAGTTTTCTGAGGAGCAGAAAGGTGCTTGTACACTCAGTACACGTAACAGGACTACGCAGCAGGTAAATTTTATTCGGTTATTTCCCTCTCGGTTGATAACTGATACATATCATGCTGCTTGTTGTTTTAGTATTATGTATTGGTTCCTTTTTCTGTTGATGAAAGTAAGCCTGTTGATCTTGATGGACAGATCAGTCGTGATCCAAAGCCACAAGAACTTGCACAGAAACCAAAACCACAAGAACTTGAACAGAAACCAAAACCGCAAGAACTTGATCAGAAACCTAAATCACAAGAACCAGCACAGAAACCAAAACCAGTAGTCTTGAAAGTTGAACCGGTAAGTGAGGCGGGTAGTGTTAGGCCAGTTTCCATACCAGTTAAAGTGGATTATGCTACTTATCTGTTCAATTTGCTCTCCATGGACGAAGATATAGAAAATGACTCGGTGGTATCTGCCAGTAAGAATAAATTGGCTGGTAACCATGGTATGTTTCTTTTATTTGTCATCATGAGAGAAACTGTTGCTTGATTATCTTGCTTTCCATGGATGAAAGTTTCCAAATCAATTACATCTTGCAAGTATGGCTTTAGCATTACCGCTAACCTCGTACCTCCTTAACATGCAGCAGTTGAAACAAAATTGATAGAAGAGAAAAGTAATAGACCAGAATCGTCTGAAAGCAAGATTCAACCAAAATATGATCTTGAAGATTTTTTTATAGATCCAACCCCAACCCCAATCACTCAACCCATTTCAATGAAAACTCAGAATGACGTGCAGAATGACATTATGAACTTCTTCGAGAAGGTATACGTTGCAAAGTTGTTTAGCATGCCATATCTAACTTTTGATATCGTGTTGTGGTGGAATTTGGTTTGTTGATGCTATATAGGTTTACATTTCTCTAACAAATTTAATATTGGATTTTGGGCAGTCCAGTATGGCTTCTCCATTCTCTGTGCATCAACAGCAACTTGCAATGTCATCCCAACAACAGGCATTACTCGTGGCTTCTGCGGCAAAATCTAGTGGATCCCATACCATTCCTGCAAACGCACAACCTGGCTCCCATTCTATTCAGCACTTACCCGCCCGAAATGGGCAAAACATTGGTCGCCAAGTTCCTGGAAGCCTGGTACATGTTCATCCACAACATTATACTCAAGTTGTGCTTAGGACAAAGCTTACACCTAGTATTTTCCATTTGATATTCCATCTCTTATCTTGTCTTTGCTTTTCTTGCACCAGATTGGAAACAGCTATTATACACTCCCGGTAGGGAATACAGTTCCTTTCCAAACATCAAGGTACACATTACATATCAATTCGACATGATCATGATCAATTCGCCCTGTACTATAATATAGACCGGTATCTGAAACCATGTGATTCATGCTCAGATACTTTTTTTAATAAAAAGTGAAGAACATTGATTAACCATGTGAATTTTTTGTGAAATTTTTCTCTTGCAGCATGTACAGGACGAGGCCAGTAACTCCAGTTAATGGTGTCACAAACATCAGAGCTAACAAATTTTCATCAACGTCACCAATATCTTCTATCTCTTCAACTAAGTCAGGAAGGGATTTTGATTTCTCATCGTTAACTCAAGGATTGTTTACCAAACAGTGAGCAGGTTCTCCTGCAGCGGGTAAATCCACTTTAATCAATCATCAGTACAGAATGAAAGAAATTGATGGAGAATAAATGGGGCAATAGTATTTTAGTTGATTCCTTCCTAAGATGTTGATTTCAATTGTATCAGTAGGCCTTGTCTCAATAAAATTGGTTCAAATTCCATCGCATGAATTCACCTTCTTGTAGTTGCTTCTTGTGGTTAGGCCTTTTCATCGCTGTTAAATGACGAAAGCTAGGATGTAAAAAAGTTCAATTAATGCAACAGGCTTATAGCTCAAGTTATTAAACGTGTTTATCTTAGCACGCGAGTCTTACATGAATTTGGCCCAGTTGACGGTTGCTTTCAATGGAAACTTGTATTGATCGGGTAAAGCCAGGATTATGGAGTTGGATCCGTTAGCATACGACAGTAACAAAAACACTACCCGTAGTACCAGTAATGCAGATGTTTTCGATAAATGTCGCTTCATTAAACTTGTTCACTAGCATCCAGATGAATCGTATTACACTAGACGCTTGTGTCCACTGTCCGCCGAGGCTGTTTGTGCCTTACAGATATGGTCAATGGGAGTCGCATTCATATTTGGGAGTTGAGAGGAGAGATTGAGGAAGGAAACTTTTGCTTGATATATAATGTTCCCTTGTCCCCTGTGCTTGATGAACTTGGTCTTCGCCATTTGTACCGTGTTACAACTAAACTGCTGCATTTGCAGCATTCGTACAGAAACGGTTTTGGCCAAGCATGATTTGAAGGATGAAAACTTTCGTGTGTTCCCGTTTGTCCTCCCACGGCGGCCGACGCCACTTCCTAGAGTAGCCATCATCCATGCTTCCACAACTAAAATCTGAAGCTGTGCTATGATTCATATAATTTTCTTCTTCTTATGATGACACGAAATAGATTTTTGATAGTTTTGTTCGCAAAGTAATTAAAATTAAATTGTGACTTACGACCAACAATTTTTGTGAGAAGTGCTATGAGCTATTCAAGAGAGAGATGTGAACTCCATCACTGTCTAATCAAGCACAGATAGAGAACATGAACGGCTTATGCTTTCTGTTGTTTTGGATCCATGATTTTGAAAAAAGAAAAAAAAATTTAAAAAAAAACATTTTCTTTTATTTATCAAACACAATTAAGGCCCCGACTTTTTTAAAAAGCTGATTTTCAAAAAAAATTAAATTAAATTAAAAAAATTAGTAACCCCCCTACCACTCCAAAAGAAAGACATTATAAATTCTTTAAAAACGGTCTTACTATTTACTGAGAAAGATTCATACTATGTGATAAACACTTTTTTTGTAAATTTGATCATAAGACCAATGACTAATGAGCTAAAGACTCTAGTAGTAATTGTATAGTTGGAGTCAGTTAGACAAGGGTGAATATGTAATTAGTTTCTGAATGTTAAGGTCAATTATGTCAATAGAATTGTATCTATATATATACTGATGTAAATGTCTTGTTGAGTAAGAAAGTGAAATAAGAAGAAGATATTTTTTATCTCTGTACTCTCTGGAAGATAAGACTCAATATGGTATCAATCGCCACCGCCTCACGGCCTTGGTGAATCTTCGATCCCTCTCGTCATCGTCTTCCTGCTTGGTGACTCTTCGATCCTCTCGGCATCTTCAATCTGATCTCTGGTTCGATCTGATCTCACAGTCTCACGGATTTTCTGCTCAGATCTGATCTCATGGCTTCTCCGCTCCGATCTCTGGTCCGTTCCGATCTCTGATCTCACGGCATCTCTGCTACGGTTTCTGGTTCGATCTGATCTCTGGTGCTTCTTTTCTGTCATTAGTGTGGTTATTTGGTTGAATCTTGCCTGTATCTTCCACCATGGCGTCTGATTCGTCATCTTCTCTCCCAAATTCCTCTTCTCCAAACCCTAATTTGGTGCAAAGCTATACCTCTCTCACGATTCAGAACATTGGCAGTATGGTTCCGATCAAGCTTAAGAGTTCGAATTATCTTCCATGGCGAGCGCTCTTTGCTCCAATTCTTCGTCGCTACAAGATTCTCGGTGTTATTGATGGTTCTGAACCTTGTCCCTCTCCTCTCTTGTCTGATCGCTCTGTCAATCCTGCGTTTGAACAGTGGTACGAAAAAGATCAAAATCTCTTGATTTGGTTGAACTCTACACTCTCGGAGGAGATTATTCCTTTCACAGTTGGAGTTTCTTCTTCTCGTGATTTATGGCTCAAATTGGAACAGAGGTTTGGTGGCATCTCCGATGCTCATATTCATCAGCTTCGCTCTCGTCTTCAATCTCTTCAGAAAGGCTCTCAATCGATCTCTGAGTATCTCCAGCAAATTAAAGCAATTTCTGATTCTTTAACAGCTGCTGGTGCCTCTGTGTCCGATCGTGACTTGATTGCTGCTACATTGCATGGTTTACCAGAGGAATTTGACTCATTTGTTGATTCTATTACTCTTTGCCTCTCATCTACTACTTTGGATGAACTGCATGGTCTTCTTCTTACTAAAGAATTGTCAATGGCTCGTCGTAAGAAAATAGTTGCGGCTGAACCGGTTCATGCTTATGCTGCTCAGAGTCAACCACCTCTCCTTCCTACACCACATTCTTCTCAAGCTTATGCCGCTCAACATCACCCTATGCAGAATTCTTCTCGCTACAACTCTAATCGTGGACGGAACAATAATCGCTTTCCCAACAACAGAGGCAATCGAAACTATCAGGGCAACAATAATAGGGGCTCTCACTCTAATTCTGGTTTCCAAAGGTCCAACAATCCTGGTTTTCGTTCTTCTAGTACTCCTGGAGTTCGTAACAATTGTCAAATTTGTGGATCCTCCAGTCATGAAGCTATTGATTGCTTTGATAGAATGAATCCCGACATCTTTGGTCGAGTACCCCCTACTAAACTTGCTGCCCTGTATACTCATTATGCTTCCAAACCGTCTTTTTCATGGATTTTAGATTCTGGTGCTACATCTCATATCACCCATGACATCTCCAATATCTCTTCTCCTACTCCCTACACTGGTGAAGATAAGGTGTATATCGGCGATGGAAAAGGTTTGTCCATTCATCATACTGGCAGTACATTGTTAAATACTGTTCATGCCTCTTTTCAGTTGCACAATGTGTTACATGTTCCGCAAATGAAGCACAATTTACTCTCTGCATATCAATTTCTTAAGGATAATTCCTGCTCTTTGACTTTGCATTCCAATGGTTCTGTTGTTAAGGATCGTTCTACGGGGAAGATGCTTTTGCAGGGCACGGTTAACAATGGTTTCTATACTTTTCAAGGTATCCCTGCTTCTTTCTCTTCATCTTGTTCATCCCCTCATGCTTTAGTCGGTACTAAAGCCCCTGTGAATATTTGGCACAGTCGCTTGGGGCATCCTTCTTCTGCCATCTTCAGGCGCGTTCTATCTGCACATAAGCTTGCACTGCAGGGAAAACACTCTGTTGATTTCTTCTGCTCGGACTGTGCAGTTGCTAAGAATCACAAGCTCCCGTTTCATCCCTCTAGTTCTATTTCTACTACTAGTTTAAGTTTGTTACATTGTGATGTTTGGGGTCCTGCTCCTGTCATTTTCTGCATGTGGTTACCAATACTATCTTTTAATAGTGGATGATTACAGCAAGTACTCTTGGTTCTTTCCTTTAAAGGCCAAATCTGATGTATATTCTACTTTTGTTGTATTCAAGACCTATGTTGAGAATTCTGTTGGTAATAAAATCAAATGTTTGAGGTCCGATTCAGGGGGTGAATTTACTAGTAACAAGTTTAAATCTTTTCTTCAAGATCATGGTATATCTCATCAGCTCAGCTGTCCTCACACACCTGAACAGAATGGCTGTGTCGAACAGAAGCACCGCCATTTAGTTGAGACAGCACGGACTCTATTAGTTGCCTCGAAAGTTCCTCATTTGTATTGGGTTGAATCCCTCTCTACTGCAGTCTACCTGATCAATCGCCTGCCTATTTCCAGCTTGCATCAGTCTCCATGGGAACTTTTATTTCACTCTGTCCCTGATTATTCCAAGTTGAAGGTTTTTGGTTGCTCATGTTATCCCTGGTTAAAGCCATATGTTCACTCCAAGTTAGATGGGAAGAGTACAGAATGTGTATTTTTGGGCTATAGTTTGCAGCACAAGGGCTATAGATGTCTTGATCCTACTACTCAGAGAATCTATATCTCCCGCCATGTTCAATTCAATGAAAACAGGTTTCCATTTCTTTCTTCTTCATCTGTGGTGGTTTCTCCAGGATCTCCCTCTCCACATTCCCCTTTTGATTTACACTTCTCTATTCCCCAGCGACCTTCTCCAGTTCAATCCACTGTCCCTTCCACTGAGCATGTTTCTTCTTCCCCATCATCCTCCAATTCTGTCTCACCTTCTGCAGCTCCTCCTACTCATCCTCCTGTATCCCATTCTACAGCTCCTAATACCCATCCTATGCTTACTCGTTCAAAGGCTGGTATTTTTAAACCAAAAGCATATTCTGCCACCAAACATCCTTTACCTGTTGATGTTGATTTTGTTCCTTCCACATACTTACAAGCCTCCAAGTATGCCCACTGGAGACAAGCTATGCAGGACGAGTTTAATGCTCTTCAACTCACTGGTACTTGGCATTTGGTACCCCACTCTCCGTCTCAGAACATTGTTGGCTGTAAATGGGTGTTCCGGATTAAGAGGAAACCTGATGGTACGGTGGACAGGTATAAGGCTCGGTTAGTAGCCAAAGGATTTCATCAAAAGGAGGGTGTTGACTATCAAGATACTTTCAGTCCAGTAGCTAAGCCAGTCACCATTCGTATTTTATTAACCTTGGCTGTTCAACATGACTGGTTTCTCCATCAATTGGACATTAGCAATGCCTTTTTACACGGAGATCTCAAGGAAGCTGTTTTTATGACTCAGCCACCTGGTTTCATTGATTCCAATCTTCCCACTCATGTCTGCCACCTCAAGAAATCTTTGTATGGTTTAAAACAAGCCCCCAGGGCTTGGTTTGATAAACTGTTCCAAGTCATGTGCACTCTTGGGTTTAAGCAGTCCTCCTCTGATGCTTCTCTCTTTGTTCTTCAAGCTTCAGCTCCTGTTCTTGTTTTGGTCTATGTCGATGACATTCTTGTCACCGGCCCAAATACCATTCTCTGCCAACACTTCATTCACAAACTTAGCCAAGCATTTCCTGTTAAGGATATGGGCCCTCTTCATTATTTTTTGGGTTTGGAGGTGCAGCGCAATTCTGAAGGCCTCTTCATGCATCAAAGTAAATACTCTCTTGATCTTCTTCACAAGGCAAATATGGCAGGTGCCAAGCCTTGTGTCACTCCTCTTGGTACCACTAAACTTGATCACAGTGGCCCTTTACTCTCTAATCCCACTGAATATAGATCTCTAGTGGGTGGTTTGCAATATCTCACTTGGACCAGGCCTGATCTTTCCTTTGCTGTAAACCAAGTTTGTCAGTTCATGCATTCCCCACGGGAACAACACCTGCAAGCTGTTAAACGCATTCTCCGGTTTCTCAAAGGCACTCTTACTCAAGGTCTTTGGTTTAAAAAGGGTTCTCTTGCCCTCACTGCTTATTCTGATGCTGACTGGGCCGGTTGTACTTTTGATAGACGTTCTACTACTGGCTTCTGTGTGTTTTTGGGTCCCAATCTGATCAGTTGGAATGCTAAAAAGCAACCCACTGTTGCCCGGTCCTCCACCGAAGCTGAATATCGTGCTTTAGCACATACTGCAGCTGAAATCACCTGGATTTGCAAAGTTTTTTCTGATATCCACTTTCCTCTGTCTACTGTTCCACTCTTTGGTGTGATAA